AATGCATATCGTTATCATCACTTTCAAATGTCATCATAAACTCAGGTGGTCCATTTTCTAGGGAAAAATTGTCCTCAGTGTTGGATGTCAATGCAACCCATAAAAATTTGAATCACATGCGTTAAATGACGCCCAACAGATGGTGGTACTGAGGGAAAAAAAACAAGAATAAAAATACAAACTTCCTTGAGTAATGTGTTCTCCTGTGACATGTAGAATTTAGACTTGTTTACCAAAGTAATAATGGAGCGGGGAGTGGAAAATCAAGAAAGCTAGAACCAGAAAGGAATTTTCTAAAGGTCATACAAATCAAATTTGGTAAAATTATTGTAAAAATATTAAATAAGGGTGAGGCAAAGTGAAATGTCTATATGAGCATGTAAAATGAACTGCTAAATATTCTGTTAAAATATGTTTAAAAAAAGCATGGTGGGTTCATTTGCATGTATTGTATGGTGTTGTTTGTAGACCAGCTTCTCTCTTGAGTCAACCAAGTCCCCCTCATATGCCTTCCCAGCGCCGGGTCTGTTGTGGGCGCTCAATAAATATTAAACAATTGAAGTAAAACTAGTTTCAAAGGTTTGAAATTCACAGGAACCAATCATATTGTTATTACCATTTAAAATTTATTGAGGGTCAACAACAAGACTTAATCAACATATGGAAATTTGTTATTTTATAATCACACATCACACAAATCATTAAATACAATTGGGTCGACTAAGCCTTTTAATTTTACTCCATTGACTTTTTAAAGATGAAATAACTGTGGTATACCAGGAAATATAAACACAGTCATTCAAATATGCAGGACTGTCTCAGGAAACCACTGCTCTCAGATATTTTTAACCATCTCAGAATAAGTCTATAGTAATTACACATCACAGATTCAAAAATGACCAGTGCATTCACAAAGATTGAGAATATCTATTAAGATAGAGGAACATAATGACTCAATTACAATGTACTTGTTTTCCACTGGTTGTCCTGACAAATTTAAAGGCTCTTACAATTATATGGGTAACATGGTTTACAGAATCACATCCAACCCAAAGAAACACAGAAATCATTCACATTCATACAGATTAGGTTGCTTATGAGTGCTGAAACATTTCTAAATTTAAGGCAAAAGTGAACAACTTATTACGAAATTAACTTTGATATGGTTTTGATGTATACTCTCATATATTACCCTTCATAAAATGATCAGTAATTGTGCTCACATTCATGTTGTTGGTATTTGGAAACCAAATTCTGTTCATAAAGAATTGTCATGTTTCAAATTAACTGGGATGTAAAGTCATTTTATTTTCTAAGAGGATGGAATAAATATGTTATTACTCTTTTAAATTTACATTAAGGTACCAAAGTGTACATAAGCATTTAGGATTATAAAGTATGATTTTCATTGCAATCTTATAATATAAAACAAGAGGCTTTCTAGACAAGGCCTCCCATAAAATAATAATATTCAGAAGTAAGAAATACTCCATTTAACAACTTTCTACCAGAGTATCAGAAGTTTTTCATTTGAAAAAGTATTAGCTTTTTATTGTTCCCTAAATTTGTAAATGTGTTTTGAAAGCTAGGATAAGGTATACTTTATTGAACTTGGTACATGACTTTGCATAATTAAACAATTATTTAACTTTCTCTTCCCTTTTGCCTTATTAAGAAGTTCACATTAACATACTTATAATTAATAAATAACAATTTCCATATATTTGTCCTTATGATTGTTCATCACACAGAACTTCTTAAGAATAAGAACCAACTATAAATATATAAGAACTGATAGAGTTGATGAATAAGAATTCATTTTCCTCAATTAGTTCTACTTTTAAATTGATATGGTAAAGATTTAATCTAACTTCTTAAATATTGCCTACTCTCTCACTGAGAACTTTGACTTATAGAATAATCTTTTAGCTTTACAGTGTCTTGGGCTCAAGTTGTTGATCTGGGTCAGCTAATACTTCTTTCTTGACATTTTCTCTGTGTTTGCAATCAACCAACAAATACTGAGCACACAGTTGGAAGGCCATAGTGATAGGCTCTTAGAACAAATCCTAAACAAGACCTCAATAATGTCATGAATCAGAGGGGATGACAAAAATGGTGACTATTTTCCCCACCTTGCCTTTGTTGCAGAAAACTTACTCTAACCCTACTATTGAGACCCCAAATAATTGTCTTGTCTGTCCTCTTCCTGTACCTCACTATGCTTCTTTAGAGTGGCTTCTCCCCTCCATCAGCTAGTACTAAGAAAAATGCATCAGTCATTTCCTTCAGAAGGAGAAAAATTGAAAGATAAGGAAGGGGGATTTAAGATTGCAGGTCTATTTTGAAAAAAAAAAAGAACACAAAAACATCTACTTTTGATAAATTAAATATCAACAAATGAGCAGTTTTTAGTAACAAGCACTACATCATTGAATCACAATGCACTCTCTTAAGACACGGTGTATGAAATGTAATGATGCATCGCTTCATGGCAGCACATATGTGACATTTTTAACTTTGCCGCACTGGTTCCTCTCATAAGTACAGCCCTATCAGTTGTGGAAGACGTTTATTGAGAGCTATTCTGATATGTCTAAATACATCCGTGTGTGTGTGTGTGTGTGTGTGTGTGTGTGTGTGTGTGTGTGTGTGTGTTCCTAATTAAATGGCTTTTAAAAATAAGGATATACAAAATCTTAATCCTCAAATCTATGATCTAGCCAACTTTAGATATTCACGAGAAAAATAAAAATAACATAATGCACTATAAACTAAAAATAAAATAGCTTTTTTTTTAGTTCTGTAGCTCTCAGTCCTCCTAGTCTCCCCTTTCTTATATGTGATGATGTCTCTTTTTCTAAATTAGGTTCATGAGTAATTAATTCTACCTATTCCAAAAATGCATTCCCATAATGTAAAGTGGGCTGGAGTTAACATATTCATGCATAGTTGGGATGCACCTACACCCAGCAGATCAATGTGCACAAGATTCAGTGCACACAGCACATTGAAACCTGACAAGAGTTATACAAATCATGATGTTTTCCCTAGGAAGCCCACAAGTTAAAACTTACATGAATAAAAAGGTATCTTTGATGATATTTGATTGTTCTCAATGCATTATAAACTTCATTTATATAATGGATATTTTTTAAGTTAACTAAAACTGTGTAGTAGAGAAATGAAAACATAGTTCCAAAACACCAGTTTAAGATTAAATATTAGAATCCTATCATGAAACACATAGATCAGAGTTAGGTGTTTTTCACATGCAAACTCTCTGCTTTATTCATATCTATTTTTCTCATCAACTATTTGACATAAATGTACCACCACCCACAAAAATGGCAATGTGTTTAAATATACGATTTTCTGTTGTGTTTATAGTTTAAAATGTGAGAGGCCATTCTCACACATTTAAAACTGAAATGTTTACAATTATTACAAAAATAATTGTCTTTGTTTTATGTAAGCCTATAATCCTAAGCTTTCATAAGATAAAATATAATTTTAATAAAATTATGATAAATATAATCTGCAATAGTAAGTTCCCATCCTAATGAGCCATTGCCAACTTCAGGAAACATCAATGAGTGAAGAAAAGTAGCACTGTCAGAAGCAAACAGGCAGTGTTTCTATCAATCACGTTAGGCACCACTCATTATTACCATGCTCTCCATTACTAGTCAGTCTACTTTTAACATGCTGTAGTGATTTACAGCATCCAGCTAGGTGGGGATGCTGTTTAACGGTGCAGTGTCTGCTCAGCATGTTTAAGGCCTTAAAGTCAATCCTGAATACAAAAATATGTAAGAAAGAAAAAGAAAAATAAGAAGTAAAACAAGCTATGATAAGTCATTGCTATGACTAGAGAACAGAAAACCATGATGCTCAGTGGATTAAAGTGTGCTTTGATAATTTAACAAAACTGTTTCATGAGAAAAAAAGACCTAAGGAAGTATATATTTATATATGTGATTTAGGAATTTATAATTTGTTACATCCTTTATACATATGATTTCTTATTTGAGCTACACAATATCTTGTCAGAAAAGTGGCTTGGGAATGATTGTCTTCATTTTGAGTAAGAAATTTGCACACAGAGAGCCACATAAATGAACAAGCCAAAGCACGAGCCTGTGCTTTGTATTTCAGACACTAACGTAGGCGCTTTCACCCAGACAAAGCTGCCTCAAATAGTGCACTGACACCTAAAATTGTCGGTGGTATCCAGAAGCCAAAATAAATGGAAAAACTTTATCAATATAATTATCATGCTATTTTCTCTGTAAAAGTCTCTAAATCTTTTCACTTAGTTGAGCTGCAGGAATAAGCACAATATTGCTCTCAATGTTTAAATGACAGTGCTCAGAAGCATTTTTAAAGCATATGCTGGAGTGATATTGTAGTATAGCTACATTAAACCACATATATATATATACATATATATATGGTTATATACATATATATTTATGACTTTATGATGTATAATATTAAATTTTCAGGCCTTTTGGATGAATCAACAAGCGAAGTCATCACATAAACTATAATAACTTTTGCTGCCATTTGCCCCAGGGTGTTAACTTTAACAAATTATTTTTAAAGTAATATAAATTATTTTTCATAAATAGGGAAAAATCATGTTTATCCTTTAATCTGTGAGGTGGTTTTGAACGAAAAACCAAGCAGAAAGTGTCTACTCGTTACCCAGCTCATTTTCTCATTATCAATCCCTCTCAGCATCTCTGCTGGTGTAATGAAGCAGTAGGTACAGGTTTCCTGTTCTGAATTTATACTCAAAGCTTGATACACAAAAGAAAGACAAGGCCAGATAGTCGCCTCCCATTCTCCTGTCCAGAAAAACATGCAGGGACATTGCTATGGAGCAAGAGATTTAAAGGTTATTGTCTTCCACCTGTCTGAATCCAGTGTTTTCCTCCTCGTGTTGTTTTCTTTCTAAAGAAGATAATGTCAACCTGCTTCACTTTTTTTTTTACCTTGCTCCACTGTCTTGGATTTCTCTTCTTTCTTTCCGTGCACGGCTGCAAAGCAAAGATAAGGTTTAAATAAGAATTCCAGCCTGAAATGTTTATTCTGCACATAAAAGCATTTGGGAATGCATTCAATACCAAATATTGCTTCTAAACAAGCTCTTCTCTAATGCTTTTAAAATATTTCTCATCTCTCTATAATGCGATTGAAATCTGTTTTAAATCTAATCTTAAGGAATTAGAACCAAAAAAGAGAAGCAATAATCCCTTCAGTCTCCAGGCTGATTCTTCCACACTCTTTTCTACTTTATTCCTTTATGCTGTGTTTTTATAAACAAGCTACAAAGAATTGTACTTGACGGTACTATGATTAATTGACTTACATTCCAGTTTATTGTTGGAGTCACAGTATCTTACAAATGTCAACCAGATGCACCTTAAAATTCAAACTTAGTATGTCTTCATGAACTTCAAGGACAGTGCCGTCACGCTTGAGAAGCATTTAAATATTAAACAAACCCATCCCACATCATAAGTAGCCAAAAGTGATAGTGAAATTTTTTAAAGTGCTATATCCTCAGATTCATGGTTTCTCTAAGATTTATTACTCTTAGTTGAAGATTTGCTGTTTACCTAGTTAAACGTCAAAGGAGCAGAAAATTTTCATACAAAATCAGTGCCTCTAGCTGAAGTAACTGTTTTGAGAAAGAATCTTCAGAGAATTTGAACATCTATGAGATGAAGAACTGATGTGGAATTGAGTAATGTCATGACAACCAACCCTATGGAGAGTTGCAAAGAGGAAAATGCAGTTTTAAATGAATAAGTGAGTCTGCTACTGGCTTTACTCATTTTGGAAAGAGAAGTATTTCTTCACTGGGGCCTTCAGAGAGACGCTGCTTCCGGTTGAGAGAACGTGCAGTGTGTTCAATATTCTGCAGTATTCTTGTCAAAACACCTAACTGGAATTCAGTTAAACCAAAGGTCCAGCTTCCATTTTAGTCAAATGCAAAGTGTAGTAAGCACATCAACCAATATTTGAAAGAAGTCATCAGGCAAATAAAAATATCTATTGGTAACTATCCCTGAAGAAAGTAAAAGTGAGAGAGAGAGTAATGGAGGGAGGGAGGTATGAGGGGTCAGTAAAAAATGAAGGAAGAAAACAAGGAAAAACAAAGATGTGATGGATTTTATCCTTTGATGTATTTGCTTAAAAAAAAAAAACAAAACACCCTGAAGTTTGAATATTTACTTGACAGAAATAAAAAGAAGTAGATTTTAAGGAAACATTCTAACCCCCAAATGGAACTCTTGAATGAGGAAAACATTTAGTTCAAAAGCAAATTAGAATTCCCCAGTCTCACAAATCCCAGTGGTAGAGACAGTTTCTGAATAGGGAGAACTTTAGGGACGTGTCAGTGAGGGTTGTGTTTTTATTTTCTATTCATGTTAAATTGTAGTCAGTGTTAGATTAGGACAGTTCAAGGAGGATAGGAACTGGCTTCCATCAAGAAGGACAGGAGCACTATTGCACTCCTACAGTGACAAATTCTAGGAACTGAATTGCTCTAAGAAATGAAGCACATGGTTAGGACTTGTGTTACAATTTGTACAGGGGTTCACAAATCCCAGGAGAATGAGTAAGGCTCTCAAGCATACATTCCTGCTTGGTCATATGAATGCTGTTTCAGTGATGGCACCTTATCTTGAGCCTTAATCTTTAAGTAATAATGCAAGTAATGCTTCGAGTACTGTAGAGACAAAATACAGAAAAAAAAAAAGTTGCTCAGTTATGGCAATTATAATGCACAGTAGGTGGAAGTAACCTGTCTTTCTTTCCCTCATTCTTTTTTCTTTCTTTCTTTTTTTCTTTCTTATTTTCTCTCCTTCTCTCTTCCTTTCTTTTTCTTCTTTTTTTTACTCTGCCTTAAACAAAATCATCCTTTTTCACAGAAGATTTTTTATTAATTTCCAATATTATTTAAGAATAAACCGGTTATTAATTAAAATAAATAGATGAAACAAAGTTAAAATTTAGTAATGTATTAATCCATTCTGAAACAATATCATAGAAATCAACCAAGAGAGAAAAAAAGAAGGGAAATATACAATAATTTAACAAACATGAATGAAATAAATTTTACTATAAATAAAATTATATTTTTAAGTAAAAGAATAGGAAGAACAAAGCAACAGCCAAATTTGGAGAAAAAAATGCTCAGAGACTGAGAATGCAGGCACTGATTTCAGTCAGATGCTGAAAACACAAGTTTCTGAAAGGGAGAACAGCTTAAATTTACATGTTTTCCTTAGACTATTACCCAAATAAAACAAAAAAATTTATTTCTTTAGCTAGGCCTACTTGGTGTTTATATATATATATAATGCTATCATTTGGAAGGCTGAGGCTTGAGTTTGAGATCAGCCTGGACTGTATATTGAAAGTCTGTTGAACCAACTAACTAACTAACAAATAAATAAATAAATAAATAAATAAATAAATAAATAAATAAATAAATAAATAAATGAAGGTACGCATCATAGTACTATCTCTTTGAAAAGGTTTAGTCTTTCCAGTGGTAATATCAAGTTGTCTATTCGATTGGAAGTTTCTTGCTACCTAATGATGACATGCTTTTAATGCACATGTTTTAGATACATAGACTTGAAGGCTTTTGAATGAGATTCTAATTTTGATTTTATTTCTTTACCCACTGGTTTCTTTAGTTTTGAGATTAGAATACAGTTAAATTTCTCCCTTCCCTTTTCTTTCTTCAAACCCTACCATATACCCCTAGCTACTCTTCTTCAAGTTCATGGCCTCATATTTTTCATTAATTATTATTGTATGTATATATGTATACATATACACTATATATATACATATATATATATATCTCAAATAGAGCCCGTTGAGTCCATATAATGTTATATGTATTTATAATGTATGTGTGTATTTAGCATTGATTATTTCTCACTAGCCTATGCTCCCAGAATACTTAGTTAATGAAGACATCTTTTTTTATTAATGCATTACAATAGCAAGCAAATTAGTATTTATTATTTACTATTTCAAGAACAATGATTGTGTCCAATAAGAAAGTAAATGTGTATATCAAGCACAAAGGAGAAACAGAGAGAAAAAATTAAAAAAAAAAAACACAGAGGACAAACAGAAGTGAGGTAATTCCTTGCACTCACATTAAATAGAAAGAATTAGCTTCTAAGAACTATGTTTCATAGTATGTGCAGAAGACTTTCCAGTACCATGAACACTAGTTGAGTAAGGGTTAAGACTATATGTGTACAGCAGCTTGACTTCTCCACGTTCCATGAGGTGTATAGGTCTTTTCTTCAGCACTGGAAACTTGCAGTCAGTTTGTAGAGGGCAACAAATCATTTTGGCAACAGCCTCGGTTGTTCGTTTGGGATTCCCACAGACCCCTTTGGCCAACAACTGAATTAGATGCTGCCCACTCCTGCCACTGGAAGCTTCATTTGGTAACAAGAGATAGCTGGTTGGGGTTCTGTCTCCTCCCTAATTAGGCAATTTTGTTTAGACTGCCTTCCAATATGCATATAATATATAATTAAAGAAGCTCCTACTGCTCTACGTTTCCATAGTAGTGTCAAATGGCCCTTAATTTTAGCTGTCTCTCCCTGTGCTCGCTCCCCTGTCCCCTTCTTCCATGCCACTTCTTGCTGATGAATGTGTCTATTCCTTTTGTAGTTGTTGCTGTAGCTACCATTGCTTCCATTCTTCACTGATTTCAGCCTCCAGCTTCTTCTTCTTTCTAGTGGGAAGTGGAGAAGAACTGGGAGGGTCAGCGGGGAGGGGAAACTGTGTTCAAAAAGTCTATTTTCAATAGGAGAAAATAAAAAGAGTGATTATGTGGGGGAGGTGTAGGGTTGAATCTGGAAAGAGTAGGAGTGAATATGATCAAAATATTTTGAATGAAAATGGCAGCCTACAGAAATGGGAAAAGATTTTAACCAACTCCATATCTGATAAAGGGCTAATATACAAAGTATGTAAAGAACTCAAGAAACTAGACATCCACAAACCAAACAAACCAATTTAAAAATGGAGTACTGATCACAACAGAGAATTCACAGCAGAGAAATCTCAAATGGCCAACAAACACTTAAAGAAATGTTCAACAACCTTAGCTGTCAGGGAAATGAAAATCAAAACTCCTTTGAGATTCCATCTTGTATTGGGGGATATTTGTACACTATATAAAGATACGTTGCTGTGATTGATGTAATAAAAAGCTGAATGGCCAATAGCTAAGCAAGAGAATGTAGGCAGGACTTCTGGGCAGAGAGACAACTCTGGGAAGAAGAAAGGCAGAGTCCCCAGCCAGACGTGAAGGAAGCAGGATAGACAGTACACAGATGAGATAATTAGCCACATTAGATAATGGAAGAATGTTGATTAAAACTATGGTTTAATTTAAGTTATAAGAACTAGTTAGGAACAAGCCTAAGCTAAGACTGAGCTTTCATAATTAATAATAAGTCTCCATATCATTATTTGTGAGTTGGAAGCCCCCCAAAGAAATCCAACTACAGTCTTATTCGTGTAAGAATGGCTAAGATCAATAACACAAGTTACACCTACTTCTGGTAAGGATGTGGAGCAAGGGGAATACTCCTCTGTTACTAGTGGGAGTGCAAACTCATACAGTCATTATGAAAACTCAATATGGCAGTTACTCAGAAAATGGGAATTGACCTACCTCAAAACCCAGCTATACTACTCTTAGGCATATACCTAAAGGATGCCCCTTCCCACTACAAAGACACTTGGTCAACTATGTTTATCATTGCTTAATTTATAATAGCCCAAAACTGGAAACAGCCTAGATGTACCTCAGCTAAATAATGGGAAAAGAAAATGTCCTTTATTTATACTGTGGAGTATTACTTAGCTGTTAGAACAAAATGACATCGTGAAATTTGCAGGCAGACAGATGGAACTATAAAACAAAAATATCCTGAAAGAGGCAACCCAGACACAGAAAGATGCACATGATATGTATCATATG